CTTATCAGTACTCTTAAGTGTTCTGCCATTTACTGTATATTTTCCATCTGGATTAGACCTTCCAAAAAGCATTACCACACATTTTTCTAGATGAAACTCCATCTGCCATCTCTCTACCCAGGTCACCAACCGATCGATATCCAGCTGTATCCTTTGACGCTCCTCATCGCTATCCACAATTCCAACAACCTTTGTGTCATCGGCAAACTTACTAATCAGAGCAGTTACATTCTCCTCCAAATCATTTATATATATTACGAATAGCAAAGGTCCCAACACTGATCCCTGAGGAACGCCACTCGTCACAGCCCTCCATTCAGAAACACACTCTTCCACTGCTACCTTCTATGACCAAGCCAGTTTTTTTTATCCATCTTGCAAGCTCACCTCTGACCCCGTGCGACTTTACCTTCTGTATCAGCCTGCCATGAGGGACCGTGTCAGAGGCCTTACTGAAGTATCATATTACTTACTGAGATATCATATTACTTGCCTGTATTCCAGATTTGAGCTCTCTCTGCTCTGGCTGCTGCCAGGAAGGTAAACTTACCAGAAAGTTGCAAAGAACTCTAATGCTTCTATTAATGAAGTAATGGAGCAGTTTCATAGCAAGAGACACACTGCAAAATTATCCTGCAGATTTGCTTTGAAATCACCAGAATAGCAATCTTGCTGTCTGGGAGCCTGCTTGATGAGGGAAAGCTCCATTAAATACCAATCAGGATCGGATTGTTTTGGTTCATTGTACTGCCAGTCGGTCCCCAAGCACACTGAAAGACATTCAATGATATGGGAATTTAATAGGTGTGTGCCAGAAGAAAATTCTTTTATTAACTCCTAATTTATCCCTACATAATGGTATAATCAACCTTGTTGAATGTAAGCCTGTGTTGTCGGCATGTGTAGTTTCTACATGACAAGATCCTGCTGTGTAATGCCCAATTTGTATTTGCCTTAGATGATGAGTTGCCCATTTTCATTTTTCCTACCACACCCGCCCCTAACCTGCTCTCTGATTCATAAGAGTATTAAAAGAAACAGCTTCTATATCTGTAGTACCTTTCAGGAGCTCAGGATGTCTAAAAGCCTTTTGGCAATTCGTAAAGTGTCTTCCCTGTTGCAATGTGTGGAAAAACAGCAACCAATCAGTGTGCAGCAAGCTCTCACAAACGGCCATAAGACAATGACCACTTTGCCTCTTATTTTTAGTGATACTGGTTGAGAAATAAATATTGACTCCAGTGCTAAGAAGAACTCTTCAAAATGGTGCCATGGGCTCTGTTAGATCTACCTGGGAAGGTGGATCAGCTTAACATTTCAGCTGAAAGATGGTACCCCCGCCAGTGTGGTGACACTGTCAGTACCGCACTCAGTATGTGAGGCCACATGTCATGCTAGTCTCTGGAACCATGCAATAGAATGTACTTCACTGGCTACTGAAAGACGCTCCTTGATTTTCTGCTCGGATCCGCAGTTAGTGCGCAGACTCATGAGTATCTGCGACCATTTCGGGAGCCAAGGTAAACCAAGGCAAGAGCGAGGCCATGTTCTTTGGGAATTGGACTGACCATTCCTTCATTCCCTTCACCGTCAGGACAGATTACCTGAAGGTGCTGGGAATATGGTTCGGCGGGGTCAGGGTGTGCACAAAATCTTGGGAGGAGCGCATCGCCAAAGTGAAGCAGAAGCTGGTCCATTGGGAGCACTGCTCCCTCTCCATTGTGGGTAAAAACCTGGTCATCAGGTGTGATGCACTCTCTCTGTTGTTGTACATGGCACAGGTCTGGCCCATTCCCTAAAACTGTGCTGTTTCAGTCACCCGAGCCATCTGGTGTTTCATCCGGAAGCCTAAGATAGACCAGGTCTGCAGGGACTCCATGTACAAAACTCTAGCTAAGGGAAGAAGGAACATACCCAATGTTGCCCTCATCCTGATGGCCACCTTTGTGTGTGGCTGCATCAGGCTGTGCGTAGACCTTCAGTACACAAACACCAAGTGTTACGACAGACTGAAGTTCTACCTGTCCCCAGTGTTGCAGAGGATGGGAGTGGCCTCGTTGCTACAGAACATTCCAAGTAGTTGGACTGTTCCATATCACCTGTCCTTCGTCAAGAAATTTGCAAAGAAAAACACCGTTGACCACAAGTCCATTAGGAAGTGGTCAGCACATAGCGTCCTCAAGACCCTATGGGAAAAGGAGAGGGTGGATCCCGTCACATGGTTTCCTGAACAGACTGTCAAAGTCATTTGGCAGAAAGTCTTATCACCAGAACTTTCCAACAAGCACCAAGACATTGCTTTGCTGGTGGTGAGAAGGGCACTACCTGTGAGATCCTTTATGTATACCAGGTCAGCCTGCACCACCCCATGCTGTCCTGGAAGTGATTGTGGGGGGTGATTGAGACTGTCACACATCTCCTTCTGGATTGTGCCTTTGCAAAGGAAGTCTGGAGGAACATGCAGTGGTTTTTGTCGAGGTTCGTCCCAAGCAGCTCTGTGACGCAGGACTCTGTGCTCTACAGTCTGTTCCCTGGGATGCACTCTGACACAAACATCGACTGCGCCTGGAGGATCATCAACTCAGTGAAAGATGCTCTTTGGTCTACCCGTAACTTGTTGGTCTTCCAGAACAAGGAGTTGACCCTGACTGAGTGTTGCAACTAGCACGTTCCAAGGTCCAGGAAGCCCATTGTCTGAGGTCTTGCTGCTGATGGTAAATGAGGCTCTGTTTTAGTTATCGGATCCTCCTAGCGCCTCTAATGTATGTAAATATTAGTTTTGTGTAAGAGAGGTTTTTGACTTTTTTAGGATAGAGTCAAAGTTTAATGTTTTGTTTGCTTGATATGCAACTGTGCAGAACCAAACTTCTTTTGTGTCAATATATACATATAAAGATTTTTATGAATAAAGTATTTTTTGAAATTAAAAACAAAGCTGGTGAAAGACGTTCTATTGTCTGCCCGAAACTTGTTGGTCTTCCAGAACAAGGAGTTGTCCTGGACTGAGTGTTGCAGACTGGCACATTCCAAGGTCCAGGATTATGTGCTGAGGGACGCACAGAAGCTTGGAGCAGCTGCCGCCAAGGTGCAGTCGGGAAAGACCAGATCCGAGGTTCTTCTGCAGAAACTAAATTGGGGTCCAATCAGTTTTTGGAGCCAGCTGGTGCCTCAAATGCATATAAATATAGTCGTGTACAAGTAAGAGATGGCTTTGGTTTGTTTGGATAGAGTCAAACTCCAATGTTTGTTTGTTTCCTTGACATGCTACTTTACAGAACCGAACTGCATTTGTGACTGTACACATAAAGATATTTTTATGAATAAGGTATATTTTTGAAATTAAAAAAAGGCTGCCAAACAGCACTTCAGCATGTCCTGTGATTGTGATTGTGAAAGATCACATCAAGCAGTACTCTTAAAACAGGGCCAGGACAGTTTAGGCTTCCAGCTACTCCCGGGTGAGTTGAGTACAGGGTTCAGAAGGTTGAGAAAGTTAGCCTCCTGTCCTCAGACATAGATTGGTTCTGTGCTTGGAAAAAGCTGTAGGTCTTTGTGGGGGTCTGCTGTTTGCAGTATTTCAGAAAAATTGCCAGGTCTATAGTAATAAGTGGCAATGACTCAGATGAAACATGTCCAATACCTCGAGTATTAAATATAAGTTGAGCTTAATGAAAGAGTATGGTGTGTTGTCTTTCATGCTTCTTGCGTAGTCTTTTTGCACATATGAATGTGACTAAATCCAGGCTAGAAATCTACCCAAGTCATTGGTATAGAACAAGGAGAACAGATCCTCCACTCACTGCCTTCTGAACATTGTTTTCATTTTACCTCCTATTGGTCCCAAACATTATCCACATCTGTCAGTCCCGGGTTTGAAGAACCCAGGGCAACAGAGTGAAGAGCCACATCCTGCAGTGTGAAAATTGAATCGCAGGCTGATGAGTGGAGCAATTTGCATAGATCTGCAAAAAAGCACAGTGACTGAGTCACTTTAGATGCTGAGGCATTTTTTTAAAAAAAAAGCTTGTGGCTAGACATAATGAATGCCCCCTTTGATGTGGTCTGTTTGCAGCAGGAGGCATGGGTGGGAGTGATATATCATAGAGCTGGCCCATCTGCTTCCCTGAGCCCCATAATATGAGCGGTTGGTCAAGCTCCCTCTGGACACTTGACCCTGGGCTTATTGAGGCTTCTAAATGCCTAATTCAAGAGCAATTAAGGATCTTAATCCACTACCTGAAAATGCTAGGCAACGGGAGGTAGGCCTGAGTGCCAAGATTGTTTTGTAAATTACATTCTTGAGAAGATAAAAAGGCTGGTGAGGACGTCCTGTCCACTTGAGGGGCTGGAATATGACCCGATGTGTTCTTGCTATGGGGGCTGACTTTTTTTCTATACAAAGGTGGGAGTTAGGTGGTACACACGCCCTGTAAGATAAAGCCTTCTTGTTGAACTCAACAAAAATCTTATTGAAATCAACGAACAACAAAAAAATGACATTTGTATAGTGCCTGTTGTGTAGGGCAAGATCCCAAAGACGTTACATTTGCAAAATCAGAAAAGGCATGATGACACTGAGCCACATAAGGTGATAGCAGGATAAATGACCAAAGGCATGATCAAAGAGGAGCACCTGAAGAGAGAAGGAAGAGCCAGGGAGGTTTATGACAGGAAATTCTATGGCCTGCAATTTGAGCCCAAAACTATCTGACTAAGCAACTCTGGGAAAGCTCACTCTCTTAGGTGTGGGTGAGGGAATTGGTGTTGCTGCTGAGAGTGGGAGAGCTGTGTTCATCCAACGCAGTTCTGGCAGCAAACAATCCAGGATGCGCGTGAATACCTCAGGCACAGGACAGTCCTGTAAACTCTGAGACCGTTCAGTCACCTCGATACATAGTGAGATGCAACTGGGACTCATAAAGGTTTGAAAGGCGCTGTATGAATGCACCTTCTTTCTTTCTAGTCACTGTTATTTTCAGACTGCTCCTGTCTCACTGCAGGGAAGTGGATCGAGATTTGGATGGCCACGTAAGCTTCAAGGACTTTGAGATTGTCATGCGCCATGAATGAAAATCGAATGAAACCTGGAATGAGGCAGGATATTGCAGCCCTACCAGCCCCAGGGGCCTCAACACTGCTCCCTAATGAATGGAGACTGATCTGGGAGATGAAACCATGGTCAATCAGAAGTGTCGCTCAAATGCAGTTTGTATATTTCATGTTCTACCTCCAACTGCAGCGATGATTCAATGTGCAATGTGGTATTTGTGTACTTCCAGAAACATGTAGCTTTGTTGCGTTGATTGCAATAAACTTGTTGTTGTGTATGTTCTGCATCATATCTCGCAGTTTTAGTGGCAGATTCAAAGTGAATGGCTTAGTTCTCACACCATCCTGAAAATATAGAAATGAGGAGTATTATCTGACCATTCAGCCCCTCGGGCCTGCTCCACCATTCAATATGATCATGAGTGATCCTTTATCTCAATGCCATATTCCCACTTTCTCCCCGTACCTCTTGATTCCTTTAATGTTTCTTTCCTGAATATATTCACTCAGTTGCCTCCACAGCCTTCTGTGGTAGTTGCTACACTCCAGTGAGCCTCAGTGACCCAACCCCAAACTCTGTGCTGCCTGATCTCCCTGATAACCTCTGTATCAGTCTGACCCAAGTCCCCACTGCACAAGTGACCCTCGTCTTCTTTTTTAAATGCTATCATGGGATGTAGGCATTGTTGGCAAGACCAGCATTTTGTTGCCCATCCCCCATTAGAGTCAGCACAGAAACAGACACTTTGGTCCAACTCGTCCACGCTAACTGGATATCCCAATCTCAGCTAGTCCCATTTGCCATAATTTGGCCCATATCCCTCTAAATCCTTCCTATTCATTACTCATCCAGATGCCTTTTAAATGTTGTAATTGTACCCATCTCCACTACTTCCTTTGGCACCTCATTCTATACATGCATCACTGTCTGTTTGAAAAGTTTATCCCTCAAGTCCTTTTTAAATCTTTCCCCTCTCACCTTAAACCTATGCCCTCTAGTTTTGTACTCGCCACTCTCAGAAAAAGACCTTGGTTATTCATCCTTTCCATGTTCCTCATGATTTTATAAACCTCTATAAGGTCACCATCTCAGCCTCTGATGGTCCAGGGAAAAAAACCCCAGCCTGTTCAGCCTTTCCCTATAGCTCAAACCCTCCAACCCCAGTCCTTGTAAATCTCTTCTGAATCCTTTCACAACATCTTTCCTATAGCATGGAGACCAGAACTAAACACAGTATTCCAGAAGTGGCCTAACCAATGTCCTGTACAGCTGCAATTTGACCTCCCAACTCCTATACTCAATGCATTGACCAATAAAGGCAAGGACACTAAATACCTTCTTCACTACCCTGTCTACTTGCGACTCCACTTTCAAGGAACTATGAACCTGCACTTCAAGGTCTCTTTGTTCAGCAATACTGCCCAAGACCTTACCATTAAGTGTAGCCTGTCTGACAGGGACTGAAAGTGTGAAAATAATTTACAATAATGTTATTTGTGCTGAGAGATAGGAAAAGCAGAATGTGCTAGGGTCCTTTTCTCCCATATAAAACAGGAACCTGAGGAATGACCAGCAAAGCTCTTCAAAATTATGAAAGGTTTGATCCAATAGAGGTAAAGGAATGTTTCATCTTGTGGGGGAGCCAGAGCTAGAGATAAACTGAAAGAACTGTGGATGCTTTTTTCTTCCTTTATTCATTGACATGATGTGGGTATCGCTGGTTCGGCAGCATTTATCGCCCATCCCTAATTGCCCAGAGGACAGTTAAGAGTCAACCACACTGCTGTGGGTCTGGAGTCACATGTAGGCCAGACCAGGTAAGGATAGCAGTTTTCTTCCCTAAAGGACATTAGTGAACCAGATGGGTTTTTCCTGACAATCGACAGTTCACGATCATCATTAGATTCTTAATTCCAGATATTAATTAAATTTAAATTCCACCATCTGCCATGGCAGGATTCAAACCCAGGTCTCCAGAACATTATCTGGGTCTCTGGATTAACAGTCCAGTGATAATACCACTAGGCCATCGCCTCCCCATGCTGTAAATCCGGAACAAAAATGGAAGTTGCTGGAAAAGCTCAGCAGGCCTGGCGGCATCTGTGAAGAAAAAATCAAAGTTACTATTTCGAGTCCGGTGACCCTTCCTCAGAACTGATGGTAACTTGGAAAACGTTGGTTTATATGCAGAAGATAGGGAGGGGGAGGGGTAGGGAGTAAATGATAGGTGGGGAACCCAAAGAGAAAGAAGAGCAAGTGGATAGAGAAAGGAGATGATAACGGTCTGGCTAGGAGGTTGAATAGCTGTTAATGGAGACTGTTAGTGACTAACAACAGGTAGTGTGTAATGGCAGACTATGTGATAACAAGGCCTGGTGTGTCGGGTAGGAGACTAGGACATGGGAGAGTTTAGACCCTAAAATTATTGAACTCGATATTGAGTCCAGAGGGCTGCAGGGTCCCCAAGTGGGAAATGAGGTGTTGTTCTTCCAGCTTGTGCTGAACTTTGCTGGAACACTGCAGCTCGCCAGAGACAGAGATGTTGGCCAGGGAACAGGTGCTGTGTTAAAGTGGCAGGCAGCTGCAAGCTCAGGGTCTCTTTTGCAAGCAGAACGTAGATGTTCTGCGAAGCAGTCACCCAGTCTACACTTCATTTCCCCAATGTAGAGGTGATCACATTGTGAGCAGCGAATGCAGTAGACTAGGTTATGGGAAGTGCAAGTGAAGTGTTGCTTCACCTGGAAGGTATGTTTGGGTCCTTGGATACTGGGGAGGGCAGAAGTAAATGGGCAGGTGTTACACCTTTGCCAGTTGCAGGGAAAAGTGCCGTGGGGCTGTGGGGTGCAGTTAGGGGTGAAGGAAGAGTGGACCAGGGTGTCCCGGAGGAAATGGTCACTGTGGAACGCGGATAAGGGAGGGGAGAGGAATATGTGTCTGGTGTTGGCATCTTGCTGGAGGTGGCAGAAATGGCGTCTGATGACCTTCTGGATGTGGATGCTGGGAGTTGGGAGAAACTGCTTTATCCAGAGAATACAAGGAATATTGTTGAGGTGAGCATTATAGATACATTTAACAGGAATCTAAATTAACCCAAGGAAGAATAAAATAGAAGACCAAGGTGAATGGGATAGTTGGAGAGGGGAGTGAGATGACTCGTTTTCAGAGACTGGTTGAGCTGAGCAGCCTGTTACTGAGCTGTAAATTCAATTAAAGCCTCCAGTGGAATGCTGTTTATATTTTGCGAGTGGTAGTATTTGGTCCATAGTGAATGAAATCAGCTTCAAAGGACAGAGAATTGGCAGGCATGTCAAGTTGAGTGTTTATAATAGAGTCTGAATATTGCACCGTGCTCTGAGACTGAGAGACAGCAATGCCTTATTATTAATTCGACTCTCTGCACTCTTCCAGTTCTGGCCACTTGTTCATCCCTGATTTCGGTTGCTCCACCATTTGTGACTGTGCCTTCAGCTACCCAGGCCCTAAGGTCTGTCATTCCCTCCCTAAACCTTTCCCTAAGCCTCCACATTCATTTAACATACTCATTAAAATATATCTTTTTGACCAGCTTTTGGCTACGTGTCCCAGGATTTGATTCTGTGGCTTGGAATCACGTTTTCTCTGATGAAGTTCCTGTAAAGAACCTTTGAACAGCATACTGGCTGAAGGCACCATGTAAATGCAAGTTGATGCTTTTCAGATAAATTTTCAAAGTGAAACTCATTGAGAACAATCTATTCATTTTGTGAATGACAGTTCATTCAAGTTAAACACAGAACTACATTAAGGAGGTTCAACTGCATGTTAAAACTAATCTGCTTTGCATGGTGATGTTAGTATTACACATTCTAGACTTAGAAGTATATAAATCCAGGTATTAATTATCATATTATTGTAACAGTACTCTGGAGAGATGGTGATTTGTACTGGGAGAGTTGCTTGAAATTGTACCTGCAGTTTACTTACAATAAGTAATATTCAATTGGCTTTCACATTTGCTGGTGCAAATTTCAGATTTGTTTAATCGGTAATTGAATGAAATTTTAACATCCGCAGTGGTACTGTCATAGACAGGACTCCACAGAAAACCCCGGACCATGAGCAAGCTGAGAAATCTGAGTGTGTTAAATGAATCAATGTAAATTACTTTGACTTCATTATTTCTGAAATTCAGTGTGACAGCTGTCGTCTAATCTAAGTACATGTGTTGCATTTCATTACAGTCTCAGATGCTTAATAAAATAATCAATGCAATTGCTGTATTAAAATCTGCCCAGATCTGCAGACAATGTAATTAAAATAATTTCCATCAATGACCCCGTGCAGCTGGAATGGGTCTGAAATATTCTTGTGCATGCAGGAAACAGTTCCAGGACTGGGGCAATCATTCCTTAACCTTGGCACTAGCAGCACACAGTAATGTTATATAGATTCAGATCATCTCTTAGAGGTTAATAAGCTTGTACAACTTTAATTGGACCATGCTAAATTCCACCCAACCCTCCTTTCATTGTTGCCTGGGTGCTGCCTATGGGGAGCTGAGGAGAGTCGACAGCTGTCACAAAGTAATGCCAGTGATTATGCTATATTTGTACTTATTAACTCCACTGTCAATAAATATGTTGCATTTACCATCAGCTGAATGATCAGAGGACAAGAGTCGACACACCTCCACTGTCACCTCACTTGGAAAACTGAGTGAAGAATCTCATTAACATGGGAAAGCATTAACCAAGAATAACAGCTACAACTAAGATCATAGTTCTGTCCTGAATGGAGGGCATGGGTAGGAGAGGCCTTCTTATTTTTGTTACTTTTATAATATTGCTAACCACCATTGATTACAGTTTGCAGGAGCCATGGGAATGTAAAGTTTGGAGGTGTCTAGTTTTCTTTTATTCCAACTGGGAATAAGCTTATTTGTGTGCATAGTTTTTAAATTCTATTATTTTTTGCTTTCTAACAAAAAGTAAGTCGCAACAGAAAAGATGGATCTTGCATTTATTTAGTGCCTTTTATAACCTCAGGTTGTTACAAGCCAACATGTAACGATTGAAGTAGATTAACTTTTGTGATTATAGGCACACTTCTTAAAAAATCCCTTCTGTGAGTACTAACCCACAGCAGTGTCTATATCTAAAGATACACTGCAGTAACTCATCAAGACTCCTTTGACAGCACCTTCCAAACCTATGACCTTTGTCACCTAGAAGGACAAGAACAAGGATGGGTATACCATCACCTGCAAGTCACAGAAGTGTTATAATGCAGAAGAGGGTC